TATACGTGCAAAATTCATTGAATTAAAGTCTTAGGCATTATTGTGTAGTAAATTAAAAAATTATGAAAAATTATTAAATCATCTGTTTGCCATGTCTAAATACTTATTGTTGAATTTGTTTTTATATGACAATTTGCTTTATGTTGAGTAATTTCTATCTATGTTGATTGTTTTGGGGTATTGTACACATTGTGTGGAGCCTTCGGCTATTTGTTGTGAAGTTAATTAACTTGGTTGTATCTTTGGAATTTTGGTTGTAGTCATTGGGCAAATTGTGATATGAATTGATTTTATTATGTTGCCGTGATAATTTTCGTGTAAATTATTGTGTTGTGTTAATTATTATTTTAAAGATATAAGGGTGACATTTCACCGTTGATATTATGTGGGTATAAGGGTGGCATTTCACTGTGGTTGTGTTTGTTGGAATATTGTCTGAGCGGAGCGATAAGGGTGGCAATAGGAGCGATAAGGGTGGCTATTAATATTGTCTGGGCGGAGCGATAAGGGTGGCTATAGAAGTGATAAGGGTGGCAATAGGAGTGATAAGGGTGGCTATTGTCAGGGATGATATATGATGATGTGGGGTTGTAGTGTTGATAATTTTCATGTGATGTTATGATTTGCTTGTGTTTATTTTTATATCTTGTGCAATTTGTCTTGTTGTTGGTAAATTGATAACAATCTGGTTTATGTTGAAATTGGGAGCCTGTGGCCATTGCCAGGCGGATTATAAAATAAAATGTGGGCACGAGGTGCCGTGAGTAAATAATGAGGATATTTAGCACGTGAATTATCCGTGCAGTTGTGATATAAAATGTGGGCACGAGGTGCTGTGATGAAATGATAATGATAATTGGCACGTGAATTGTCCGTGCAGTTGTGATATGAAATGAGGGCACGAGGTACCGAAAAAATATGATGATTTAATTATGGGCACGAGGTGCCTTGAAAATATGAAAATTGGTTGAGACCCATATTTTTATGATTATGAAATGAGGTGTCACATGGTGACTTTTTAATTGAAAGAATTATATTAAAAATATTTATTTGGAACGATTATTATTCAAAAAGAATTGTATTTGAAAGATATTTATTTGAGGAAATTATATTTGAAAAGATTTATTGAAAGAATTATATTTGAAAAATAATTATTTGAGAAAACTACATTTGAAAGAGAGTTATTTGGAAGAATTATATGTGACGGATATTTAATTGAAAAACTTGAATTAATTAGGCGTACATGTATTTATTAATTATTGAGGGATATTTATGGTATTCTTGTTGTCTTGCTGCGCATACCACTGGTTATTTTATCCCGCCCTTATTGCTATCTGTTTTCTAGTATTTTGTATATTATATTTCACAGGTTATTAGACTAGTGAGTGTCTTGACTATACCTCGCCTCTACTCCATTGATGTTAGTCTTGATACTTATTGGGTACCGACCGTGGTGTACTCATACTACACTTATGTACATTTTTGTGCAGAGCCAGGTATTGGAGATATCAGACTTGAGCAGAGTTAAAGCGGGACCGTAAGGATTCAAGGTATAGCTGCTTTGTTATCGCATTCTCTTGGAGTCTTTTCATTTCATTGTACTGTTAAATTTTAATCAAACAGTATTATATATTCGTTCCTCGTGATCATTCCATGTATTCAGTTAGAGTTCGTGACTCAGTACTACCAGTCTTAGGAGGTTGTATATTCATATTTATTCAGGTGTTAGTTTTGGTTACTTATTTAATTAAAAAAATGGCTTCAAAATGTAATAGAAATCGGCTTACCTAGTCTTAGAGATTAGGTGCCATCATGACGCCTGTGGTGGAATTTTGGGTCGTGACAAGATGGTATCAGAGCTCTAGGTTCATAGGTTCTATGAGTCACGAACGAGTCTAGTAGAGTCTTGCGGATCGGTACGGAGACGTCTGTACTTATTTTCGAGAGGCTACAGAACTGTTGGAAAATTTCCATTTCTTTCGTTCCTGTCGTGCAGAATTTGTTGAATTTGGAATTTGAACCTTTGTATCTCCATTCTCTCACAGATAGTGAGGACACGTGCTACTGGGTTAGCTGAGCAGGCATCCGCACATAATGCTAGGGCTGCAAGAGGCCGGGGCCGAGGAAGAGGCCGAGGTAGAGGTCGAGGAAGGGCACGTGTTGCGACTAGAGTACCTGCTAGAGCGGCAGTTGAGGAGCCACCAGCAACTCCAGTTGGGGGACAGGTACCAGAAGCACCTGTTGTTATCCCAGGACTTCAGGAGACTTTAGCACAGTTCGTGAGTATGTTTGGTACATTGACTCAGGCGGGATTGATATCTGTTACACCAAATATTTCGCAGATTGGGGGAATAGCTCAGACTCCTATCACAACTCCAGAGTAGCAGGTTCACGTTGGTCAGGTTCCGGGTGTAGTACCGGTACAACCTGTTATTCCGGTTCGGCCTGAGGTCAGGCCAGAGGCATCAGAAGAAGAACAAAAGAGACTTGAAAGGTTTAAAAAGTATAGTCCACCTACTTTCAGTGGCACAGCTACAGAGAATGCCCAAGAATTTCTAAAAAATTATCACTGTATTCTCCGCACCATAGGTATTGTGGAGGTGAGCGGAGTTGCCTTTACTACATTTCAACTGTCAGGCGCAGCGTATCGGTGGTGGCAAATCTATGAAGAAAGTAGACCAGCCAATGCCACACCACCAACTTGGGCTTAATTTTCAGAAATGTTCTTGAAAGAGTTTGTTCCCCAGACTCTCAGAGATGTGTGGCGCGCAGAGTTTGAACGGTTGCGTCAGGGCACTATGACTGTGTTAGAATATACTATCAGGTTCAATGAGTTAGCCCGTCATGCACTTATCATGGTTCCTACACTCCGAGAGCGGGTCCGCAGATTCATTAAGGGGCTCGAATATGATATTAAAATATGCATGGCTCGAGAATTGCAAACTGATACTCCATTTCAATAAGTAGTGGAGATTGCAAGGAAGATTGAGGGTGTTTTGGGCGAGGAAAGGGAATCTAAGGAGGCCAAAAGGTCTCGAAGATCTGGAGGATTCAATGGATTTTACTCTTCAACTAGAATCCATTATAGCGGAGGCTCGAGCAGTCGGTCAGCTCAGTCCGCACATCAGATTACTCGGGGTGCTCCAGTTTATAGTGTACCACCGACACGAGATTCTTACAGTGGTTATTCCAGGTATCCAGCACAGACTCAGTACGAGCAGTCATGACCTCAGAGGGGTTGTTATGAGTGTGGTGATACTAGGCATATCATGAGAGATTGTCCTAGACTTGGGAGGGGTGGATTTTATCAGAACACTCCATCTACAAGCTTTATTCCAGTCGATACTCCACGTGCACAGTCAGCTAGAGGTGGAGGACAGGTGAGTAGTGGGCATCTAAGAGGTGGAGGCCCGACCCGTTGATTTAATCACTATGATTTGGCTGAGGCCAATACATCAGATGGTGTTGTTACAGGTACAATCCTGATTTTTATTATAAGAGGATATTTTCCTTAATTTGATTCGGTTCTGAATATTTAGGTGAGTCCTCCTATTATGCTCCACTTATGGGTGAGCTTCGTAAATTTGTGAACCACTTATATGTTTATCCCTGTTGGGAGATTTGAAGGTATGAGCCCGTGTCTGTCATTTATTTTTGGTACACCATTGAGGGCTATAAGCCCAAAAGTAATTTGTATTATTCATTACAATGGGTTTAATGTGTTTCGGAATAATTGATTCCAATTTTTATCAATTATATGCCCTACCGGTAGGAGGGTTCAGTATATGTTGTGAAAATTATTTATGAAATATAATGAAAAGAAAAAAAGAAAGGAAATTGAAAATTTCAGTTGGCACAATGTGCAACATACTTGTGATTCGGAGTTGAGGACGAGATCCTCGCATTTTTACATGATATGAAATATTTAAACCGGACTGCAAGCCGCGATGGAAGTTATTTAAGGATGAGGTCCTTGTGGTGAAATATGTATGAGTTTAAAATTTTTCCTTTGTGAAATTTAATTGTACAATAGTATTAATAGGGAGTCATGCCTGTTAGGCTCATTTGATAATTCTTGTATATTTTTCTATGCCTATTCAGCCATTTTGGTGCTATAAACATTGAGTTTTAACTTATGAGATGAGTGCCCAGGTGGCATTAAATGTGACTCATTAATCCGAGTAAGCAATCATGAGGTCTTCATGCCTCACATTCTGTTGTAAGTGTTGTGAAAAAAAATTGAAATGAGGTCGTGGTTAATATGAGATTAATTGATGATTCTGAAATTAATTATGAACAGCTTTTAAGACCAGAAATGTGGTGATGAGCATACATATGATGTGCTTCATGTCCTGATATCATTATGATAATGCGGTGCTTGTAATGCTGAGATTGGTGTTATTGATATATACCTTGTGGTATTGTGTTGGGTTATGGATGTGTTGTTAGGAGTTGTTTTGGTATTACTCTGGCAGGTGGATAGGCCCAATTACAGGGGAGACTCTGCCGAAATTTCTGAAAAAAAAATTTGAGAGTTAGTAAAATTTGGAGGATGGAGATTTGCAAAGGAAGAGATAAGTTATGTTATGTGTTTGAGGGCGAATGATCCTAAGCGGGAGAGAATGTAACATCCCAGAAAAAAAAAATTTGAAGTACTTCAACACTATCAAGAAAATTGATGTGTGCGTAGGCACGAGTTGCTATAGCCAGTTGAAAGTAATAAAGGAAAAATATACAACTTCTTAATAAAATCTTATCTTTAAAGATTGATACTATAAATATACATGATGAAGACTCCCAAGTCTTTTCCGCAGAATGAATTAGTTTTCGTTTAAAATCAGTAAATTTAAATGTGAAATTCATCTTATCTTCCCTCAGAGAGAGAACCCAATCCACAAAAAGTATGAAGCACCAGCTTTTAACATGCGTAGAAGAAGAAAATATTACAGACTACAAAAGCTAATATAAACATTATTTTGTAACTCACCTTAGTTTCTAGGGCAAAATTCAGGGCGGACAACTACATTCTTCTCATCGACCCAATACAATCATTTCAAATTTTCTTCTATAATATTACCTTCAAAATAGCATCACAATTCAAGAAGAAAGAAGAATTAACGAATATAATAATGAGTTAAAACTAATGAATTACTAAAATCAAAGTATGAAGAGTTTTTATACAATAAAAGAGGTAAATTATTCTAACATCTAGAAATAAATACAAAATTAGTTCATGAATTTAATTGCTGAAGAATGAAATCGAAAGATTACCAAAGATACGAAAATTTTCTACCCCGATCATCAGCGAGAAACCTGAAAGAAACACAGACAATTATCTCGACTCAAATGCAAAATTAATTCACGAATTAAATTGTTGAAAAAATAATCATAATTAAATTATTGAAAATAATATTGAAAGATTACCCCATATAGGAAGATCTTCCGCCAACCATTAGCAAGAAACTTGAAGCTGGTGAAAGCAGCACTGACCGTAATTCAAATTTCTACTGAAATAAACTTGTAGTATTGTCATTGAAAGACCTAAAAACTTCTAAAACCTGGATCCAACAACCAAAAATTAAGTGGGAAAAAGAAGAAGAAAGCACAAGTCTCATGCAATACCAAATTCAAAATATAAAAGAGAAATCAAAAACCAAAATTAGCAATGATATCTTACTAATGATATGGACAAACTAAAAAGATCTGGAAAGAGAATCCAAGATAAGAGATTTCCAAGTTAGGCAATGAACAAACCATGAACAACGATTTCACCACAAATCAAAAGACCAAAAAATAAACTCTTAAAACAATGATAGTACAATAATATAAATAATGTTCAAGTGAAAACAAATACCAATATTAATTGTTGAATCCTAAACCATACTTTTTCCTTTAGAGCCTACGGCGATTTATTTAGGTCAAGGGATCCTAAGCCAAAAAAACAAAGAAAAGACACAATATAATTAACATTAATTGGTAGAAGAATCCTAAATATAAAGTGAATCCTAAAACCTAAGTATAGAAAAACCGTGTCCAACAAAAATGGGGTTATAAATGACAGTTTTGATACTTCTTAAAAAACACAATTACAATTTTATCCAATGTAGAATATAATTACGAAGGGTAAAAAAAGCCGAACGATATTTCGACAGGGGCTTTGTGCTTTTAATATAATATAGATACGTGCTTTAGTAGGTTTAATAACTTATAGTTATCGGAAAAAAAAAATGATTTAGCGCACACAATTCTATTTATGTGAGTTCTTTTCAAAATTTAGTTGCTTTTCAAAGTTAATAAAGAAAAAGCAATATTGCAGTATGAACCACCTTCATAAAAATGTTCTGATTACAATAAATTCAGAAGTGTATAATGTAGTCATCGTAACGTATACCATCCATCATCCATGTATGTGTTTTATCAGCACCGGAATAGAGTGCTAAAATGAGTAAACTAATTAGGAATTAAGGCATAATTATAGAGATTTATCAAAACAAATTTAATAAAAACATTTTTAAACAGGTCTCGTAGCAGGTCGTTATCAGATGTCTAATTTGCTCTCCTTTAATTATTTTCTACTTTCGGTTCTTCGTTAAAAGGACATTTTATTAATTAATCCTAGGGACTAGGACGTGTCCAAAACTTATTTGTCAGCCCTTGTTTATATTCATGTTTTTGGTTGGACATGTAGAGAAATAATTTAGTTAAAGCAGAATATCTTATATATGAAGCTTATCGTAAAACCACTCCTAGATGTCCTCAATATTTCATGTTGAATAGATTTACATGTGGCAATCTCAAGAATGAACTTCGTTTACTGTTGTCACTTCTTAATTAGGATTAAGGATGAGTACTGTCACTGTCCAAAATTCAACTAGTTATGATGCACCTAACCCAATCCGCTAGGTAAGATAATTAAGTAAAAGAAAATACCTAAATCCTATACATTTTTCAAGGACTGGTAGTACAAATCATGAGCTTCTAAGAATAGAGTTTACAAAGCTGAAATGAAGTAAATACATCATCTATTTGAAAAGTACATAAACATAGTTTTATAGATCTAAGGCTACCATGAACCAGAGGCAGCTACAACCGGAACGCAGGTACATCTTCAATTCCGACTCCCGTCGATCACAACAACGTCAACAGTCAATATCTGCATGCTAGGTGCAGAAGTGTAGTATGAGTACAACCGACCTCATGTACTCAATAAGTAATAAACCTAACCTTAGGTTGAAAGTAGTGACGAGCTAGAACAAAGGTCGGGTCCAATACCAATATCCCACAACAATTCATAACAGCATAGTGCAAGTAATAAAAGGAGTATCTTAGAAATAAAATGCTCAGCTCGTTCACAGTTCCAGAAAATAGGCATGCTTTTCAAGTATCTCAGTGAAAATCCAAATCTTTTACCGAAATTGCCAAAAATATGAGTTAGTTTGAAAATTGTGATTTTTCCCAAAAATCCTTTCAACAATAAATAAGATGGTTCATTTTCCTTTCAGATAGTAAGTGTAAGATGTCTCTCTATGCCCATATGTCAAAATGTATGAGAGTCATAAATGACGTGATACTATACCACATGAGAAAAAATACATCTCTATGCATGTATGTCAAGTGTGCATGCCAAATGCAATGCAAATCAGTGATAAAGACCATATGCATACTCTCAGAGTATCAATTCACTCAGTCCTCCCAGTCACTCGGTTCTCCCAATCACTCAGTCCTCACACTCACTCAATCCTCCCAATCACTCGGCACTCGTACTCAATAGGTACCTGCATTCACTGTGGGTGTGTACAAACTTCGGAGGGGCTCCTTCAGCCCAAGCGCTATATCAAGCCAATCATGGCATAAAATCAATGAAACATGTTGCGGTGTGCAGCCCGATCCCATAAATATCCTTACAATCATGCCATCGGCCTCACTCAGTCATCAACCTCTCCAGTCTCTCGGGCTCTCAATGTCGTGAAATATCAGCCAAAAATAATGATGTGATGTATCAATATGTAGCAACGGAGACTGAGATATGATATGAAATGAATGAACATGACTGAGTATGAAACTGCAATGTAAGAAAATAACTCAACAATAGTAACGACCTCAATGGGTCCCAACAGAGTAAGCACGTAGCCTAGACGTGGTTTCTAACATGAATCACAGCTCAATAGCTCTAGTACGTAGATTTCATGGTTACAGATATGATCAGGTAGATACATAGTACCACATAAATAATGGAATTATAACTTACACGGTGCACGCCCACACACCCGTCACCTAGTATGTGTGTCACTTCAACACCAATCATATAACACGTAATTCGAGATTTCATACCCTCAGCACAGAGTTTAGAAGTGTTACTTACCTCGAATAAGCAAATCTCAATACCGAGAAAGCCAGGAGATGCTCCAAAAATGCCATCTCGCGCGTTTCGACCTCCGAACGGCTCGAAACTAACCAAAAATAACTCAAGTACATCAAACAATGCTAAAGGAACCAATCCCGATTGAAAAAGATCAAATCTTGAATCAATAGCCCAAAATCGGTCAAAAGTCCAACTCGGGCCCGCACTTCGAAACCCGAAAAAATTTATAAAATCCAACAACTCATTCTATTACGAGTCCAACCATACTAGTTTCACTCAAATCCGACTCCAAATCGATGTTCAAAACTCAAAAATTCACATTATGAAACTTTAGGCCAAAACCCCCAATTTCCTCTTTGAAAATCATCAACCAAATGCTAGAATCGAAGATAGATTCATGAAATATAACCAAAACCGAATTGAGAACACTTACCCCAATTCATATGGTGAAATTTGCTTTAAGAATCGCCTCAATGCGAGCTCCATAGCTCCAAAATTGCAAAAATGTGTGAAACTTTCGAAATAGAGTACTATATACACTGCCAAGACGTCCTCTTTCGCGAACGCGGCAAAATCATCGTAAGCTCATGTAACACAAACCATATAATACCTCAAATCGTCTGCAAATCTCGCATTCATCCTCGTGATAGTTAGGTCAACTGTTACAACCGATCCAAACTCAAATCACACAAATATACCCCACTGGTAGAAAAGAAAACCTCCACATAACATTATAAAAATCACACATCTGTAGATTACCTCGCAGGTTATAACCCACCTGCTTAGCCTCAAACTGACATCTCTTTATACCCTTTCATAGCCACTACTACTAAGCAATCACTTAATCTCCCTGAGTCTGATCTAGACAATAAGACATGAGAACCTATTTCGTTCCAGCATTAAGCAACAGAAAGGATCCTTCAATGCACTCATAACTCGAGACTATATACCAAATCAAGACAGAGATCATGCACCCAATAGTCCTTTCTACATCTCAAGCAAACCCTTTTCGTCACATTCGAACAATCTAAATACTTTCCACTGTCACATCATACTCGTTATATAGCCATCCAACCACTCATCGAGCCATAAATTCCACTCATAGGAACACTACCGGACATATAAGTCCAAAAGCACGTGCTAACACAATCAAAATCTCCGTGCTCAAGCTACAGTCAAAACCTGGCCTCAATTCCTCCAGACTGGCCCATCATCAGCACACAGAAATCACATCTCGCACCCCATTGATGGAAATCGCAAGTCGTCAATGCACCACTAATACCGAGCGCTCACATGCGCATGCGAATGTGTGGAATGAATTCAAAGAGTTATGATTCAAGCTGAATCAATGTTGCATGATAAGGAAAGAAAGATAGGAAGTATATCCTAAATGTCATATAGCCTCTCGAAGATAGGTATGGACGTCATCATACCGATCTGCAAAACTCTACTAGACACTTGCTCATGACTTGTAGAACCTATGAACCTAGAGCTCTGATACCAACTTGTCACGAACAAAAATTCAACTAGTCATGATGACACCTAACTCAACCCGCTAGGTAAGCCAATTAACAACTATCTAATTCCAATAAAATTTAATAAGACAATTAAGTAAAAGAAAATATCTAAATCTTATACATTTTCCAAGGACTTGTAGTACAAATCATGAGCTTCTAAGAATAGAGTTTACAAAGCTTAAATGAAGTAAATACATCATCTGTTTGAAAAGTACATAAAAAGAGTTTTATAGATTTAATGTTACCATGAATAAGAGGCAACTACAATCGGAACGCAAATACATTTTCAATTTCGGCTCTCGTCGATCACAACAATGTCAGCAGTCAATATCTGCACACAAAATGCAGAAGTGTAGTATGAGTACAACCGACCCCACGTATTCAATAAGTAATAAACCTAACTTTAGGTTGAAAGTAGTGACGAGCTAGAACAAAGGTCGGGTTCAATACCAATATCACACAACAATTCATAACAGCGTAGTACAAGTAATAAAAGGAGTATATCAGAAATAAAATGCTCAACTCGTTTACAGTTCCATAAATAAGCATGTTTTTCAAGTATCTCAGTGAAAACCCAAATCTTTTACCGAAATTGTAAAAATATGAGTAAGTTTGAAAACTGTGATTTTTCCCAAAAATTCTTTCAACAATAAATAAGATGGTTCATTTTCCTTTCAGATAGCAAGTGTAAGATGTCTCTCTATGCCCATATGTCAAAATGTTTGAGAGTCATAAATAACGTGATACTATACCACATGAGAAAAAATATATCTATATATATGTATGTCAAGTGTGCATGCCAAATGCGATGCAAATCAGTAATAAAGACCATATGTATACTCTCAGAGTATCAATTCACTCAGTCCTCCCAGTCACTCAGTCCTCCCAATCACTCAGTCCTCACAGTCATTCAGTCCTCCCAATCACTCGGCACTCGCACTAAGTAGGTACTTGCACTCACTAGGGGTGTGTACAGAATCCGGAGGGGTTCCTTCAGCCCAAGTGCTATATCAAGCCAATCATGGCATAAAATCAATGAAACATG